AGAGGTCTGAAAGGTACCGGAGACCAGATTACAGGAGGACTTGCTGACCGTGGGAAAACCTTTGGAATACTGTAGTTCCCAGTGTGACAGGAAGGGATTTGGATGTCATTTTCAGTGTGGTGAGAATTCATCAGAAGCTTTTGAACAGGGGATTGTGTAATCAGAGATATGTTTCTAAAGGATCATTTTGGCTTGAGGAACTAGACCTGGGGGCAAGGATGGAAGCAGGGAGATGAGTTAGGAGGCAATCAAGAGGTAATGGGGGCTTGGCCTGGGGTAGGATCTGCAGATGTGGTGAGAAATGTTCTGATTCATAATCAGTGAGGAGAGATGGAAGAATTGATGGAGTGATGGTAGAAGGGATGAAATGAAAAGACAGGAGGCAGTAGTCACAAGGTGAGATGTTTGAAAGTGAGACTTTTGAGGGTTTGCAGTGGTAACAACAGCATCTGGGGTCTGGCCCAGGGAGGAGACGGCTGGGGAAGAGGAGGTGACAGAACATTGGAGAGGAGGAGGGTGAGAAGGTGAGAGGCCAGAGTACTGTGTGCACGAGCCTGAGTAATGGAAGGGGCAGTGGTGGAGATGATGACAACTTCAAGCCAGCTGCTCTGATCTCCAGGGGTCAAGGGGGCACTGAGGAGGAAGATGGATAACTACAGCAGTGCAAGACAGCAGGTGGCACAGTCCAATGGCAAGTGCTTCATAGGAGCTGGGTTTGTAAACATGTAATGGTGTGTTTTGCTTTTGTATTATATTATGCTTCATATATTTTAGTAGATCATATTTCACATAAAATAGCATATGTTACACATTTTATAAAATATATACAGATATTCTATATCTATAATATATAAACATACATCATTATGCATTTATTTATCTGTAAAATAGAACACACGCTGAGCATGAAATCAAAGCAAAGCTAGCCTTAGAAATATTATCCAAGCCATGAAAACTCCTAGAGAACCATCTGTGCCCTATAACAGAGAATCTCTTTCATAACTTAAAAGATAATGTCCCCCAAATCTGTGGATAAATACCAAATTCTTTTTCTCCAGTGGCCCCTTCCATTTGCTTCACACTGCCCCCTGCCCCCATTTTCTTAACATATTAGCGTTCAGCTCCGGCTCTAGTAGTTCTAGATTGCATCGACCACACCTGTGCATACCCTTTCTTGGGTGTTCTTCCAATGATTATGGGCAGCATGAGGTGAGGGAAACATTTACCAAGAGAGGAGAAGCAGCTTTGAAGAGGAGCAAGGGAGTGTCTGTTGCTGTCTAGATGGAGACCTCCAGCAGGCAGTTGGGAATGGGTATCTGGAACTTTAGTGAAAGTTAGGGGCTGGTGATAGGCATCTGTGAATTGAGCTTATACTTGACAGTTGAATCCAGGGGATAGAAGAGAAAAACTAGGGAGAATATGAAGAGTAAGGAAATCAAGAAAGAGCAGGTGCTTAAGATCATCAGCATTTAAGGAAGGAACAGAAAAGAGTAACCAGGAGGTCAGAAATTGGGGAAGAATAGAGCATTTCAAGGAGAGATGCCAATAGTGTTCCATTCAACAGAGTGCTCAAATGAGATCTGGTCAGAAAAGAGCCCTGGGCTTGGCCATAGGGGGAAGTCACTGACAACCTCGGAAATGTCTGAAAACATCATCACAAAGAGATCTTTTAGAAAACATCACTCTATGGGGTCTAGACTGGATGAAGCTGAGGTCTCGATGAAGGTGAAGAAAAGACGTGGAGGGAGTAAGCAGCTCCAGTAGAGGTGGCAGGGGAGGCTGGGAGTGAAGGCAGCAGCCCTCTTGTTCTTTCAGGGAGTTTGACTGACTGTTAGGGAAAGAGAAACTAAAAGCAGTAGCAGAGGGCACGTGTTTAAGTAACTGCCCTGAGGAAGGGGCAGGGTGCTGAGCAGGGGGAGCAGCCCAGAGGTCACGTTAAGTGAGACTAGACACTACAGATTTGTAATGTCACCTGTCTGCACGACTGATAGTTTCCTGCAGTAGTGCTGCACCACTCAGCTGTAAGAACAGCGTGTAGACCTAAGGTAGAGTGTCCTCAGGATGAATTCTGCAGAGACGGAAGGGCACATTTATCAAAGCTGCTAGCAAGGAATTGTTAAAAAGACATACTGTTGCTGTGTAGTCCAATATGATAGCCCGTATATGATTACTTAAATTTCAGTAAAATAAAATTAAAAATTCAGTTTCTCAGTCACATTAGCTACTTTAACTTGTTGCTACCATGTTGTTCAGCACAGAGACAGAACTTTCAAACATCACTGCGAAGAGTTCTTTTGGAAAACACTGCACTATAGCATCTATAAAGCATATAAACCATACATAGCATAGATAAAGCTGAGGTCTTGATGAAGAAAAGATGCAGAGGGAGTAAACAAGAGCAAAACCAGGAGGAATAGAAGGTTGTGGACAGAGATGAATGTATTGAGGTTAAGATTCTAGAGACTGAGCTGTTCCAGGTAATAAGGTTCAGGGTTATGTCATGAGAGGGGGGCCGCTGAAATAGTCTAGGGATGAACATCTTTGGGGTTGACAAGGTCAAAGAATTTGTGTTCACACACATGTATAGGAGCTACAAAGTATAAATTGTGAAATACTTTCAGTTTCTCTCCAAATGGGCTTCAGAGTGACTTCTACTCATGGGGAAGAGAGAGGGTTTGGGGAGGGGTGGATGGAAACAAATTTTCCTGTCATCTTCTCTGATCCACTCTGGGGACAGTAGCAGAGATCCTCTAGGCAGTGTCTCAAACTGAAGCTCTTGTTAAAATGCAGATTCTGACTCAGTAGCTCTTGGGTAGAGCCAGACAGTCTGCATTTCTGACAAAGTAATTTCCAGAAGGCTTGAGTAATAACAAATATCGACCATTAATTGGCAGAATTTTCAACTGTGTATTTAGTTTCTCCATTAGGTCATCTCCCTTATGCAATATGGCAAATTAGATCAAAAGCAGAATTTATTCCCCCAGAGGCAGCACTAGAAGTTCTTACAGCAGGTGGCACCCTGGCATTATCATTACAAGCTTAGCAAAGGAGCAGCAGAAGCCTCAGCTTTGCCCTGTAAGGTAATTACGCAATACAGTAAATCTTCCTGAGGTCTCCCTTTCATTGTTCAGGGTACCCATGTAGATTTTCCCTCCTTCCTCCTATACAGGCATGCATCCTGTACAGATGGTGCATTTTATACTTCAAGTGTTTCAGAATTCCAGTGAGTGTATGTAATACCATAAGCAGCCATTCCAATTGGTGCCAAGTCTCAGTGATCCCTGGAGGCTTTGGTGCATTTTATACTTCAAGTGTTTCAGAATTCCAGTGAGTGTATGTAATACCATAAGCAGTCATTCCAATTGGTGCCAAGTCTCAGTGATCCCTGGAGGCTGCTTCCCTCAGAGTTCAAGACCACCACCAACCCTCACTGGGCCAGTCTGCACACAGTTCAGTTTTGCCAAGTGCATGTCATGATTTGTCCTTCTATTCCCTCTTTGACGAGAAACCATTGATCAGATCAATTTAATTTTTACCCACCAAGAACACTTCAAATGAAACTTCTCTTATCTCTCCCTCCAACCCACCCCCTCCTTTTCCTCCTTAATGTTAGCATCCTTTCCCTGAAATCTTGAACAATGACACTTTATTTAGAAACTACCCTAACTTCCTCCTCAAGGCGCCATTTAACTTCATAACAACTAAAAAACAGCATCTCCTCTCCACCCTGCACTTCTTACCCACCACTACTTACTTTCTTTGCCAAGTCTCAAGTCCTACAGAAACCCTGTAATCAATCACATTGAAGGAGTTAGCTGGCCCAAATCCCTCCCACAAACCGCAGTACGCCTTTGGGGACCAAAGCCTTTCTCTGACCTCTTCCAACATGTTCTCTGTGGGTTGTAAAAATCTCCAGGGGCAGTACATACTGGGAGCAGCAAGTTTGTGGTGCCTGGGGTTTCCCCAGAACTCCCAAAGCACATCCTCACCTTCCTGTCTGTGATTCACTTCATTTCATTCATGTGCCTTAAACGATCTCTGACCACCACATCCCAAAACAACCATCACATTTGCCCAGTTCTCTTTCTCATCCCTGAAAGAGCTTAGAGAGGTCACCAAGAATAGAGACCTAAGTTGACTGAGTCATTTCCAAACCATTTTATATCCTTGGGAGAGCTGGCCATGGGAGCAGCAGCCATGGGGGAAGTTCTATAAAGGGAACTATTTGAATTTCAAAAATACTAAATGTGACCCCCAACTAATGAGGCATAATAAAAGGGGGAATGTCAAATTTATTACCATTATCAGCAATCTTTTTACCACAGCCGACCAAGGAATAGGGGATAGAGAGAGAAGGGAGAGCTTTTGGCGAAGGTGTCATAAAGCCTGTAACAAGCTACAGGGATGAGAATCAACATTCAGGCTGTAGGAAGGTAACAGGTGGGTGAATGAGTTGTCTGACTCTGCTGGTTTTCCCTGTCCTGGGACTTAAATTCACGGACCCATAGTACTAGAGAGACCCTTAGAACATTTAGTTCACCCCTTCATTAAACAGATAAGGAAACTGAAGCTTATAAAAGTTGCGGTTTGCACAAAGCCATACGTTTCGTTAGCGGTGATGCAAGGACAGAAGTCCTGCTCTCCAGATGCCCAGCATGTATGCACAGTTCCAGAGCTTAATATCTAGTTCTTCAGTATCAAGAGACCCTTAGAACATTTAGTTCACCCCTTCATTAAACAGATAAGGAAACTGAAGCTTATATAAGTTGCGGTTTGCACAAGGCCATATGTTTCGTTAGCGGTGATGCAAGGACAGAAGTCCTGCTCTCCAGATGCCCAGCATGTATGCACAGTTCCAGAGCTTAATATCTAGTTCTTCAGTATCGTTTCCGACCACATAGCATCTGGGTATTGCATAAAGAGAAATGGAGTTTGTTTTGTTTGTTTCTTTTTCTTCCCTCTTGTTTCTCCTTCCCTAATCCCTACGTTTCCTTTTTTAGGTGTTGCTTCCCTGAAGATTCAGGCTTATTTCAATGAGACTGCAGACCTGCCATGCCAATTTACAAACCCTCAAAATATAAGCCCAAGTGAGCTGGTAGTATTTTGGCAGAACCAGGAAAAGCTGGTTCTTTATGAGCTGTACTTAGGCAAAGAGAAACCTGACAATGTTGATCCCAAGTATATGAGCCGCACAAGCTTTGACCAGGACAATTGGATCCTGCGACTTCACCACGTTCACATCAAGGACAAGGGCTTATATCAATGTTTCATCCATCACAAAAGGCCCAAAGAACTAGTTCACCTATACCAGAAGAATTCTTACCTATCAGTGATTGGTATGTAGTCAATGGTGTGTTCAGATCCTCGGCCTTCTCAGATGAGACTGCAAATGAGTAGAGACACTTGGGGGGTGTGGTATTGGAGGGGGCTGGGGAAAGGAGCCCTATAGAGACAGGGCAGAGGACAGGCATTTCTGGGAAGTCCATTTAAAGGGTGTGCAGAGTCTGGGAGTAGAGAACTGAAAGCCCTTTGTACTTTTTATGGTTTACTTCTGAAGGATCAGTAAGAATCTGCTTTGGGGACAAAATAGAGCTAGTTGAACAAAGGTAATGTGGCTAAGGTGAAACCATGGGTAATTTGGCCATTACTAAGTTTATGTAACCATATAGGCCTCAAATCTTTTGCATACATTTTCTCCTTTGGTCCAGTATTTCTCACCCACTACATCATTGCCTGGAGCTCCTAGCAAAGGGGACGGCTGAGTGATTTGGGTTTTCCCTTCAGCCTCCTGTAGGTTGCTTATGAGTTGTTTGCTGCCCCAAGCATGAGCCTGGTAGACAGAGGGAAATAATCCAGCAAACATGACCACAAACTAACAAGCCAGCTCCTCTGCTTCACCAGGCCTTGAAAAGCCTAAATGTCACTACAGTTTTTTGTTTTTAAATTATCATACAGTAGAATTAACTTTTTGTTTTGGTGTAGAGTTCTATTAATTTTGTAGATTGTGTGTAGATTTATGTAATCACCACTGTAAGTAAGCTACAGAACATTCCTATCACCCTGAAATATTCCCTCATGCTATCCCTTTACAGAGTCATACCTTCTCTGTACCCATAACTCTCATTTTGCATGCTATAATTTTGCCTTTTGAGAATGGCACATAAATGGAGCCATACAGCAGGTAACCTTTTAAGACTGGCTTCTTTTATTCAGCATAATGCTTTTGAGATTCATCCATGGTGTTGCGTGTATCAAAATTTGTTCTTTTTATTGTTGAGTCATATTCTGTTGTTTATCCATTCAGCCCACTGAAAGACACTGGGTTGTTTCCAGTTTGGGACTATTACGAATACAGCTGCTGTAAACATTCACGTACAGCTTTTTGTGTGGACATACATTCTCATTTCTCTCAGGTAGAAACCCAGGTGTGGTATTACTGGATCCAGATTGATTTTTGATGAAACTGGAAAAGGCAAATAACACCTTTTCTGAAACCACAGATTAAACCAGAGGCAAAAGTAGGGATGAATGGGGAGCTGCTCCCTTTGAGCCCTGTGTGATTCAAACTAGGCTGCAGGGCTTTCAGAACATTTTACCAAGTGCTAAATCAATGTTTTCAAAGTGGGGTCAGGTACCGTTGAGAACATGCTGTGTTTTAGGTAGGACACAGACAAGCATTTTTTTTTTCAACAGACTTATATTTATGTTAATGTATGTTAGAAAAACTATAGCTAACTTATCCAACTGGTGATTTCACAGATATTGCTAATAAGGCTAAATAAGATCTGGCAAACCACCTTCCACAGACCACATAAAGTACAAGCAGAGTGCTCAAGTGGTAGGTTGATATAGCAGAACCACTGGCATGTGAGTGGTGACATGTTAGAAACAATATACTAAACTATACATTAGTACGTAGAACCTGCAAACTACCTGGTAACTATAAAAGAAGAGCAAGGGATTGAGTGGGCAGAAGGTACATGAGACAGGTCTAGGGATTGGGTGCTAGGAATCCTCAACAGCCATAAAAATATGAATGGCAAGAGAAGCACCATGTTTGTCAAGATCACATATTTTCCCTAAAATGACTGGATTTGGCCTTGATCTTATAGTATGCTATGAAGACATCTTGACAGTCATGATAAAAGCCGGTATTCTGAATTTCTATGTCCACAATTCCCACCCACTCATTGACCACCATCCTGCTTGGGTTGCTGAAAGCTAAGACCCAGAGCATGCCTGCACCATGAACTCTTAGTTTCTAGTGGGACTTTAGCTCAATCCCTTTCTGCTCTCTTGGTCTGGAGAGCTGAAATGTACCCATGAGACCCTTGGGTCCTGGAGTCAGACCATTCCTCCTTCTGAAGACTCCACTCTCTGGAATAATGGCTTCATTGTAAATCTTTGGTGACTCAGTTTCAGACCTCCGTTGCTCTGAGATCACCCGCCTTGATTTGGATAAGTAGACAGTAAGCATGGCTTGAAACTCCATTCTCAAAAAATAAATGTGGGGCCATTATATGACTGTCACCATAGGCCAAGGCCCACTTTAGACTCCCAGGTGTGTCCCAGTGAGCCTCCATGTCAGGTATCTATTTGTTGTTCTCTTCCATACATCTAAACTTAGACTGATTTTTTTTTTTTGTATTTCTATTCTGCTTTCAGCTAACTTCAGTCAACCTGAAATAATACCAATTTCTAATATAACAGAAAATTCTGACACCAATTTGACCTGCTCATCTATACACGGTTACCCAGAACCCAAGAAGATGTATTTTGTGCTAAAAACTGAGAATTCATCTATTGAGCATGATGGTATAATGCAGAAATCTCAAGATAATGTCACAGAACTGTACAACGTTTCCATCAGCTTGTCTGTTTCATCTCTTGATGTTACAAGCAACATGTCCATCTTCTGCATCCTTCAAACGGAGCAAATGGAGACACAGCTCATCTCCCTACCCTTCTACATAGGTAAAGCTGCTTCCCAAGACTGTTTCTCTCATCAGATATTATACACAAATGCTTAAGGCAGAGGACCCCTGCTTGCTAGCCAACCTCTAACTGGGCCATTTTATGATGCTGTTGGGAAGGACCCAGGTGGAGGGTTACTGCTTCCTCTGAGTTATGCAGGATCCAGGAGGTGACACACCTGTGCCGAATTTGAAGAAACACATTCTTAGTCCTGAAACTGACCTGGTCTTTTGGGCTACCTTTGAATAGAGGATTCTGAAGTTTTGGTCAGAAAAGGCAGTATTTCTACACATATGGATAGCATATGTGTCAATGTTCTCCTACCTATATCCTCTAGGCTAAAATTCTCACTTTGATTAAAATGCACACACACACACACACACACACACACACGGCATGCATACATACAGTACTTATAATAAGTACAGAATCATTCTAGACTTTGTTAGTTGCATGAGTGAAAGCTAAAAGGTATAAGAAGACATCCTCTCTGCCCTCGGGGTCCTTCCAATAGAATCAGAACTCCATGATGTGCACACATGGAAGACTAGATTTTTAAAAGGTTAAGTTATAATCTAAATTATATTACATGGAAATACATGACTAAATTTAAAACAAAAAAGTGACTGATAATCAGTTTTATGGGCATTGAGAGGCAGGCAAGATCCTTGAGTGTCAGGGAAGGCTTACTAAAGGAAGTGGGATGTTATAACAGCATAAAATAAATTATTTGGCTTAATAAATGTGGTGAGGAAAGGGGAGGGCATTCTACATGTTCTCAAACAGGCAGTGACTTCCTGAACAGAAAAATTCTGAGACACATCTGGGCTCAGCAGGTGAGAGGACCATGGTGGATTAGCCGTATCTGACAAGCACAGGAGGTATGTCAAAGAAAGACTCAGGCGGAAATGCTTGTGGCATGTTCCAGCCCAGGCGGAAATGCTTGTGGCATGTTCATAATGTGTTGTGGGGACCAGCCCAGCTGGAGGGAAAGGTTGAAGCTGAGCACTGTCCACTAATAGGAGCCTGACGTTTAAAAAACCCAGCTTTGCCCTGGAGGGCATGTATCCATAATTGAGACTCCATTTTTGAGGAGTAGCAACTACAAGATTCCCTCCTAAAACAAAGGTACCCTCTACCCACATTGCCTCTATCACTGCTTGTTCTCATCCTGGCCCTCCCCCACCCATCTGCCTTCTGCTTGCCTCGGCCCCTTCTCCAGCTCTGGCCCCTTGGTTTGCCCCCTCCTGCAACATTCAACCCACCCCTTGCTCCATCCCTTGGCTTTGCTGCCTCCTCTCTCCTAGTGTCTCATTGTTCAGGCACAACTTGGCCTGTGGACATACTCTTATGAACAGCCCCTGGGGCTAGTCCCCACAGTCAACTTTACAACTGGGCCAGTCTGATCTCCTGGTACTGATTTCCTTCCACTCAGACACCTCAGCCTCTGAGAGTCCAGTAAATGGTGGGGCCGCCCAGCCTGTCCCAGTTGCTTCTACTGCAGTCTCTCTTGGCCTGATAGAAGCTTCTCTAAGCTATGCCACCAGTATCACCACACATGACATGCCCTGGGGCCCTCAGCTATGGCTCTTAAAGTCTACAAATGAAGGGGACTTGTCACCACTGAAGCCTCAGCATGACTCACCTGTCTGCTGATTCTTAACTACTGCCCAAATCTCCCCAGGTAACACCATCTTCAGAAATGTTTCAGCTCTAGCTGCTCAGGAAGATGGGGCTTGCCTCTCTATGTCCCTATTCAGTGGCTTGATCAGAGATAGGTTAGACACTGAGTAAAGAAACCTTTTAGGGTGTCAAAAGGTAGCAGTCTCCATGTTAACAAGTATAACCCTACTTTACTAGAATGCCAAACAGGCTCAAGTGGGATAAACTGGGACAGACTCAAAAGGTATTGAATATGGCCTGCAATGCCAACAACTCTTTTTTTTAATGTCCCAAGAACAGGGCATGTGTCCACAAATTGTAGCTAAGTTAACGGGAGATCAGCTGGTCCTATTTTTCCTGAAAATGGGAATTAACTACCAGAACTATTCCCCAAAATGTCTATAAAGTAGGCCACTCAGTTCTGAGTTTTCCCCACAAACCTGTTTTTCTTTTCTTCTTTTTTTTTTTTTTGATGCCAATTACTCAAAAAAAATTTTTTCACATTTTAAAAATCAGTAATAATTCATTATATAATCAAACATTAAACATGTTTAAATTTCTCCAATTCTCTCCCCCTCCCTCTTTCTTTCTTACAAATTGATTTGTTTACATCAGGATTCAAAAAGTTCTGCTTATTGCATTGGTTGTTATGTCAGCTGTCTCTTAAGTTTATTTTAATCTACAGGTTCCCCTTCATCTAATATTTCCCCTTGACCCCACAGAGTTTCTCAAGGTCTGGTTTTTCTGGCTCCATCCCAGTAGTGTCATTTAACATGTTCCACCATCCCCTGCATTTCCTGATGATTGGTTGCTGGATCCTGAGGCTTGGTCTCACTCGGGTTAGATATGGCTTCCAAGGTATATGTTCTTACTGCAGGAGGCTCATTATGTCGGATCATCTCTCTGTGACATTAGTAGTCATTGATGATCATTTGCTAGATCCATTATTTCAATAGGGATGTGCAAAATGCCATATTGTAATTATTTTATTCCCTTTTTATTTACTAGCTGGGATACCTCACTAGACAGAAATGTTCCTTCCTCAGCTATTTATGGCTACCCTGAGGAACAATTAATATAGGAAAGGCCAGATAAATGCTTGACTCTTCTCTTTTTCTTACTAGTTTTAGAAAATAAATTGTTTCCCTATCATCTTACAAAGAGACTGAGAGTTTGTTCACTTTTGTTTCATTGTCATTATGGTTTTTTGTGGTGGTGAGATTTAGTTTCTTTCTCTTTCTCATATGCATTTTTGTTCTACCAGTGGGTTTTGTTCTTTCTTGTGTATTTGTGGTAGTGATTATTGTTTTTCAGAGTCCTGATGCAGGACTCCCTTGAGGATTTCTTGCGAGGCTGCTTGTGTGGTAGTGAACTCTTGCAGTTTTTGTTTCTCTGGAAAATATACTATTTCCCCCTCATTTCTGAAAGAAAGCCTTGCTGGGCATAGTATTCTTTGCTGGCAATTTTTTTTCTTTTAGTATTTTGAATATATCATCTCATTTTCTTCTGGCCTGTAGAGTTTCTGTTGAGAAGTCTGCTGTTAGTCTGATAGGGGCTCCCTTATAGGTGACTTGATGGTTTTCTCTTGCTTCTTTTAAGATTCTCTATTTGTCTTTCAGCTTTGCCAGTTTGACTATAATGTGTCCTGGAGAAGATTTTTGGGGGTTGAATCTGTTTGGGGATCTTTGAGCCTCCTGGATCTGAAGGTTCGTGTCTCTTCCTTTACCTAGGAAGTTTTCCATTATTTTTTCATTGAGTAGGTTTTCCATGTCTTTTCCTTTCTCCTCCCCTTCTGAAACACCTATGATTGGAATGTTTGTGCACTTAAGGTTGTCTGCTAGCTCTCTTAGATTTTCTTCATTTTTTCAAGTTCTTTTTTCCTTTTTTTTTTTTGCCTGTCCATGTTATTTCAAAAAGATTGTCTTCGAGATCAGAAATTCTTTCTTCTGCTTGTTCTAGCCTGCTGCTTAAGCCCTCAGTTGTGTTTTTATTTCTTGGAGTTAATCTTTCAGTTCCATGATTTCTGCTACATTCTTTTTTAAGATATTGATCTCTTTGTAAATTTCCTCCTTCATATCCTGGAATTTTTTTTTTCTCATTTCATTATGTTGTCTAATGAGTCTTCTCTTATTTCAGTAGATTTCCTTAAGAAATTGAGAAATTCCTTAAGAATTCCTTGCTCGGAATTCCTTTTCAGTCATTTCAAGGGTTTCCTGCTCTATAAGGTCTGGTGTTTGAGAGTTACTGTATTTTTTTGGTGATCCTAGTTTCTTGGATTTTCATATTTCTATTATCTCTACATTGATGTCTGGTTATCTGGTAGAGCAGTTGCTTCTTCTATTACTCTGGAGTGGACTTTGAGGAGAGAGAAGTTCTCTTCTTTTTCCAGTCTCCTCTGGTGACTCTCCCTGTGTCAATGCAGTCAAGTGTCTGGTGGGCCACCTACATAGAGGCTGTGGCTACTGCTGTGGCATTGAGTGCTTTTGTAGCAGCCGTGGCTGTGGTGGTGGCTGTGGTGGGCCACCCAAACAGAATTGGTGTTTTTGGTGTGTTCCTTGCCTGTTTCCGGGCAGGGATTGCTGCCCTCGGCTCCGGCCTAGGGCCCCAGGGCATGCTCTGCTCCTTGCCTGCTTCTAGGCAGCAAAGCCTGTTTTTCAGCTTCCCAGAATCTTAGGAGTTCCCTAACTTCCAGGAAGCTGATTTTGGCTCTAATTCTCGGGGCATGAAGAAATATCAAAGGTTTTCAAGTAGACAAGACATGCTGAAAGCCATGCTGAGGAAGCCTGCTATGACCTCAGAGGGAAAAAACCAACGAACCCAGCAAACAAACAAAAACTAGAGGTTGGGGCCTGTGAGGAGGCTTCTCCATTTGTCTAAGTGAGAGGTGTCTGGAGCCCGACCTACAGATGATGGTGGACAGAGGCATCACTACAAGACAAACTTCAGGACCTGGGAACTAGCTGCATATGGGGCTGGGATAGCAGGGCATCACACAGGTGACTATACCTTCAGAGCCTTAGCATGGATACCTTACACAGATCCCAGAATCTTGGGCCAGGTTGACCATCTTCTTTTACATCATGGTTGGTGTCCTCCCCACCTTTGGGAAGAGAAGGCAGCTCAGCCCAGGCATTTGGCCAGAGGCACTGGCTTGGTTCTTTGTTAGCTGCTGAAACCCAGAGACTGGTCTTCCATGGTCTCATATTGTGGATTTTAAACTCTTCCAGTCCTAGAGACTGGGGAGATGCTGGCAAGTAAATAGAGAACAGCAGCAAATATAAACCTTTTATAAATGACCTTCCTGGCTGATTGAAAACTTGTGATCATTTCCAGCTCCTAAAATCCCACAGCCCAAAGACTACAACCTCTGGATTGGAGCTATGCTTCTAACGTCAATCATAGTATGGGCGCTGGTGTTCCTTCTAATAAGATGGAAGAGGAAGAAGAAGAAGCAGCCTGGTGTCTCTCATGAGCGTGGTGAGTCAGTCCTTGTCCCTCTGCAAATTGCCACTTTGCAACTACCATCCAGTAAGCTGCCTTTTGGAGCTCCTTGGCTGAGCCCAGGTTAGTGAATGCCAGCAAGTTGTTGGAGGAAAAGTTTTTCCCTGAGGGTTGGAGCCTGTATATACTAGACTCAGCAGCTGATAATGTTGCTCTTGACTTCTAAGAAAGGCAACATTTCTAACCTAAGGTTTACAGCGGTACTTCTGGTTTCCAGGCAAACCTGATTATTACTTGCTTTATCTACCTCACTTCATGAGGTTATTGTGACAATTCAATAAAGTAAAATAGTGAAAACATTTCTAATTGTTAAAGATTATGGACCTGGTGGTGTTCAAGCAGAGATGTTTGCTAGATAACCACAAGATTCACTTACTCATCTCTGAAAGTCTAGGTTTCCTGTGAAATAAGTTAGATAAATTGATATTACAATAAATGATATTAGTTTTTACTGATTACCATTAATACATACCCATTATTAAGTATACTGGAAATAAAAATGACCTAAATTTCACTAGTAAGAAAAAAATGATTATGCAGATGACATTTTTGGTGTAGATCGTCCAGATTTTTCTTTATATAAATCTATGTTTTTTTCATAATTGGGATAATATTATAAGGGCTACTTTTCACAGTTAGGATAATATCATATATATAGTTTTCTGACTTTGTTATGCTAAATGTTGCAAGACAATTTTCAATGTCATAAATATTCTATAAAATCATTTAATTTAATTTAATTTAATTATTTATTTATTGGTGGCTGGCCAGTACGGGCATCTGAACCCTTGACCTTGGTGCTATAACATTGCATTCTAACCAACTGTGCTAACCAGCCAGCCCATACGACATCATTTTCAGTGGCTGCAAGATATTCCATTGTGTGGATATACCTTAGCTTATTTATTTAATCAACCCCATTTGTTGGACACTTGGGTTGTTCTGCTAGTTTTGCTATTGTAACCATCACTGCACTGAGCAGCTTTCACATTGATTTCTGTTGTAAGAATGTTTAATGGGAGCAGAGTAGTCCCTGTCTTTATAATAATCTCATGCCTATTTGTGGTTTGGTCTGGTTTGGGCAAGGATATAAGATTGGACTTTATCGCAGTAACTGCCTGCAGTAACTGCCTGCAGTAAGTAGCAGTTAGTTTGGTTGGTGCTAATAATTAAGGTAACCTTCTCACTCAGTTATGGTAGAAAGCACAAGATGAGTAATGTTTCTCTGGCTGGCATCTTATCAAAGATTTCAGCATACTGATTTTAAGATCTGTTTGGAAAATAGATGGATAACATTAGTAGTCATTCATTTCATCTTGCTGTATTTTAAAAACAGGAAATCAGGAAATAATCATCAAATCTCAATAAATTAATACAAAGCATATGGCAGATCCACTCAAACTACCACAGTATGGAGTATGCTGAGAGATTTCTAAGACATAAAAGTATAAAATTCAGAGCACAGAATCAGATGAACAGAATTTCATGCTTGTCCAGGCTTTGACCTTTCAAGATGAGAGTTTTAAGTTTCTCTTTCTTTCAATCTTATCGCCATTTAGAATTAGCCGCTATGCAGAAGGAACTTCCAGTTTGGGAATAAATTGTTTCCTTAATTTGCTTTCACATTGTAATGATCAGTTTACAAATGAAACAAAGAAGAAGAGATGAAATGGAAAAAAGAGAATAAAAATGTTTCTTCCCCCACCTCTCCATGAGTCAATCATAAAAATTTAGGAGCCTAGATAAGGGGGTTAAACAGGATGTGTGTACACATGAGAGAAGTTGGGAGGGGGTAAAGAAGCTGTGTTTGTGCACATGAGATGCTCAAATTGAGCTATGAGTGGTAAAAGGAAAAAGACAATCAAACAGTATAGCACATATATGACCCCCAAGAATGTGAAAAAGAAAATTGGCAGGAAAATGTTTGGTCAGACAGTCATCTGTGCCAGTGAGTTTAGTCAAAGAGAGGAGCCTTGATATCACTGGAGGGAAGGAAATGTACCATGCATAACCACACCATTGCAGGGGCCAAGGAAAAACATCCTCTTCTTCCCTGATGCCTCACTAAAAATTACCACAAGTTCAGATTAATATGGAAAAAAGGCATAACAAATTTTATTTTAACATGTATAGCACAGGGGAATTGCAGAATGAATGCCCAATAACCCAGTGGGATACAGATGCTTACACATCCCTCTTCAGAGGGAAAGGGAAGATGGGGGTGTAGGAGTAAATGATTCTTAGGGGGGACTCAATGGGCCTGGAGAATATACAGTGGCCTAGGACAAAGTGGCCCAGAGCAGACAATGACTGGTAAAAGATTATCTTTCAAAATACTAAATGGGACCAAAATAGAAGACCATGGTCTATGACGAAAGTCTGTCTAGGTGAGTTGACAGACTTCAGTTTTCCTTCCTGTGATATGAGTTAAGTTAATGAAATTCAGGAAAAGGATCAGAAATAATTGTCATCTCTTTTGGTGGGTCCGGACTTTAGGCTGGTAAGGGAACAGCTTCAATCCTGTGCTTTGGAGAGTGACAGAGGATTGAGACAGGAGAGGTAGGGAAGGTCAAAGAGACCTTGATGTCAAAGCACCATATTTTGGGGTAACAGCCTCTGAGCCCCAACACAATGTAGATATGAGATGTTTGTAAATTTGGGTTCTGTAACTTCAATAGTATCTATCCTTGCTGTGTGGAGACTTCTGGTATTACCTATGTGATAGGCAGAAAAAGATGTTCATCTCCTATATGCCAAAACCTATAGTATATTATCTTACGTGGCAAAAGAGACTTTACATAGGTGATTAAGATACCAACCTTGAAATGATGCAATTAGCTGGGATTATCCAGGTATGCCCAATCTAATCACATGAATTAGAGAACCTTTCCCACCTAGATTAGAGAGATAAACTGGAAGAAGGAGAGATCTGAAGCTTGAGAGAGGCTAAATCCACCACTGTTGGCTTTGAAGATGGAGGAAGGGGTCCAGGAGCTGAGAAATGTGGGTGGCTTCTAGAAGCTGGTAATGTCCCTCAGTTGACATCCAGCCAGCAAGGACATGGGGATCTCAGTTCTACAGCTTCAAGGAACTGAATTCTGCCAACAGAGAGGCATGGATATCATCATGATCCATCCACAGATACAAGTTAACTGATAACCAGCAGGAATTTCTCCAAAAATGGAACTTCTTCCTCCTCCAACATTAATCCTTTTTTCGGAGGAGACAGCCCTCAAACTAACTAACCTGGCAATAAAAGTCTTGTTCAGCATTTTGTTCATTAATTATAGTTTTTCTGTGCCTCAGCTATACATATTTACCCTGTCTAGACTGTTTAAATGAATAAAAGGGAAATGCCATGATTATTCTAGCAGGTTCTAATCTCTCTCCTCATTTTTTGTTTTTCCAAGTAGAGCAGATAAGGCATGAGAGATTATAACTATGAATTACTGTCTTTTCCCAATCAGAAGTGACCCTATCAGTTTACCCATTGGAGAGAAGGACTAAAACTCCTGAAATTCTACTTCCTCATTTGGGTCTCGTGTGATGAAATCTGTATTTACTGTATTAACTGTGCTTCAGCAACCAGCTCCCTTAATAAACCTAGAAGAGTCTCGGCTCTTTCAGGAACGATTTCTTCAAGGCAAAGTGTCTCTACCAAAATAAATCATTTTTAAACAGGAACTTTCATAGGGCTTAAAAACTGAAAGTTGTGATATCTCATATTTGCCCTTCAAGATGCTAAATTTGTAATCAAATCCAGAAGTTTTAAATCTGCCTCTTTATTGTCCGCTTTCAAATAGAGGCTTTTTTTCTTTAATATGGTGATGATTATGTCATGGGTATGAAAGGATAATTTAATTACTCTGTGTTACTCTACAAACATCTGAAATACTGTATTCAGCTATAACCACCATTTTTTTTAAAAAACAGCTTTGACAAAAATAAAACCTAACCAGATTTAGAAAGTGTCTGGGAGCTCAGTCAAATAAAAAAATAGCTCAAGTAATTGAGGATGCTTAACCTGGAAAAAAAAAAAAAAGAGCCTGGGGAGTGCAGAAGGGCTGCCTTCAAATATCTAAAGAGTTGTTATAGGGTAAAAAGATTGTACTTAACTTTGTGGCTCCAAAAGGCATCTCAATGGATTAAGCAACAAAATCAACACACAAAAATCAATAGCATTTCTATTCTCCAATAGTAAACATGCAGAAAG